GCCGAGGAGAATTACAACCGGAAGGAATCTAGCCGGGAACCAACAAAAAAGATCAATGCCGACCCCTCAAATTCCCGCCCCCCGAGAGGACCACGATACACAACGTACACTCCCCTCAACGCTAGCAGGGCTAAGGTATTGGAGCAAGCCCTCTCGTCGGAAATCTTGATAATTCCAAAAAGAGCGAACACGCCCCCAAGAGCGGACAAGGCGAAAGCATGCCGATTCCACCGAAACCGGGGGCACTCGACGGAAGAATGCTCGGCGCTAAAGGACAAGCTTGAGGACCTTATCAAGCAAGGTCACCTGAAGAACTTTGTCTCACCGCAAGACCACCGGCCAAGAGGGAGAGACGAAGAATACAGTCGGCGAACGTCACCACCAAGGGATCGACGTCACAGGTCCCGTTCGGCCGAAAGGAAAGACCATTCACGAAATTCAAGAGAAGACAACACTCGGCCGAGAAAGATAATAAACACGATCGCCGGGGGTTTCGCCGGAGGAGGCTCCACCTCTTCGGCTAGAAAGCGGCACCTCCGGGCAGTCCGAGATGTAAATACCGTGAACCAACAGAAAGCACCGAGGATGCCGACCATCACATTCTCGGACCGAGACTTTCGTGGTGTCGACCCCATCCAAGACGACCCTATGGTGATTTCAGTCGAGATGCACAACTGCATCGTGAAGAAAACCCTGGTCGACCAAGGGAGCTCCGCCGACATCTTGTACTGGAATACTTTTGTGCAGCTAGGGATTCCCGAGGAGAGCTTAGAGCCATATCACGAACCCCTGGTCGGTTTTTCTGGCGAAAGAGTGATGACGAGAGGGTGCATCGACCTGTATACCCGTTTCGGGTTCGACCAAAAGACTTCCCGAGAGATCAAGATCCGATACATCGTGGTACACGCCAACACGTCGTACAATGTTCTACTGGGCTGACCCTCGATCAACACGTTGGGGGCCATTGTTTCGACCCCCCACCGGTGCATGAAATTTCCATCGAGGTATAAGCAGGAGGTGATCACCGTGCATGCCGACCAAAAAACTGCAAGGGAGTGTTACCTCTCTAGTCTGAAGGTGCAGCCTCTGGCCGAGCCACCCGCGACAGCAAGAGGGGTAAACGTGGTTAGACAGGAGACAGCCGAGAGCATCGACCTCGATCCTCGTTTAGGGGAAGTGGAACGAATTGAGGCCGCCGAAGACCTCGTCCCTTTCCAGCTCGGCCGATCACCCGAACAAATCACCCAAATAGGATCCCAGTTGAGCGAAACTGATGCAAACCGAGTCAGGCAAACTGTCCGAGACAACAAAGACTTGTTTGCTTGGACGGCGTCAGACATGCCTGGGATAGACCCTGGTTTCTTGTGTCACCGATTAGCAGTGTGCCGAGACGCCCGACCGATAGCCCAAAAGAAAAGGAAAATGGGAGACGAGAAACGAAGGGCTGCAAATGTCGCTATAAGTAATGTTGGCAGCTTGACCCCTCTTCACTAAAACAACCATATCTGGAGTTCTAAAACTCCTTTTTGGGTGATTCCAGCGCCATTGGGAAGCTAACATCCAAGGCTACAACTTTAATGAAGACTATAAGGTCAAATTCTGAAAATCAAATTAGCGCCCGGCGCATTAAAGTATCGCCCGGCGCAATTCTCAACCAGAGACCTACAGAGGTCTATTGCGCTCGGCGTGGTTCTCTCTGCGCCCGGCGCGATTCACCCAGAGATTTCCCATTTCAAATCGCGCCCGGTGCAAATTAAAACAGTAACTCCCTCCAGTTCGGAAAATTTCATCAAACATGCACAAATCAA